AGAAAGGGTGACAGTTTAGATGGAAAATCTTGTGGTTTGTATACCATCCATAATTTATTTTTAGAATGATTCACACAGTCGTATTTTTGGCAGTTCAATCAAGTGGTTTGTTGGAATTTGAAGGAGGGTGTGGTTGGATTCTCTAATCGATGCTATTACAGCAGTCAAATTTTGAAATAGCGGTTATGACCATGATTTGATATAGCGGTTATCGCAATGGTAAAACGATGATATAACGGTCAAAGTATAGCAGTTCATGTAATCATTACAATTATATATAAATGTATGAATAGATGCATAACATAATATTTATTTTGAAGATGAACATAAAGAACATGTGGATAGAAGAGGAGCAAAGTATATACTGGAATAGAAGAGATGAGAGAGGAATAGCGAGTTTACACACCAATATTGCAAATGAAAATCAGCCCCCTAGCTCGTAATCCCTTAATCGACTTCTTCAAACCCTTTAAAAGGCCAATTTAAACCCGAACTCCAAATTGCGTTTTTCACATTGGAATTGCAAGTCAAAATTGCATCCCAGTTATGGTGATTAGCACCACTATTTCCCGTCAGACCACTAACCATTATAGCATCACTATTTCACCACTATAGCACCGCAATTAACAACATATGCTATAATCTGATGGTAACGGAGGTAGAGTTGTACAGGGCCGACACATATCTCATCGGTTCACTTCATAGTTATCATGTTCTAGCGCAACTTCATTCAGTACCTAAAAGGTTCGTTAACCAATCTACGAGTATTTATTTTTTATGGTTACAATTTATGTAGTTTTCCACTCTTTATATGGTAGTTGAAGTTGATTTGATTTTGACAGACCTTCGTTTGCAATCGCATTTATTGGTGGCGTTATACTTTATGGATATACTCCAATCGGATATTCTCCCAAAGCTTTGATTGTTCCCAGGTGTTGTTGAGGTCTTCGGTACTTATCAATATTGGTAAATGTCAAAGGCAATGTGTTATCGACATAAATACTTTTTATTGTACCGAGTATTTATAGTCTTCTACCCCTACCATGTAAAATTTCATAAAATTATAGATCTTTAAAAAATTCACCCTACGGTTCAAGGAATTTCGGGGAACTTTTTGTTTGTTATTCATCTAACCTGTCCGTATATACAGACACAATGTAATTAGTTTAAAAAGCTGATGACAATGCAAAACCTAGCAAGTTGAAAAGTTTATGCTTAACTCGGATTTGGAGAAATTGCTCATAGATCATCCAAGTTTGTTCATGAGAAAGTGACAATATAGGCAACAATGTAGTTGTAAATGAGTTGAGCATTTTGGGATTCCTTTCTTGACCATGCTTGCCAAAGCATGATTCTACTTAAGTTCCAAACTTACTCAAATTGGTTATACCACCCACCAATTGTGTCATGGAAAACATTAATATTATTATGTTGCATTCAACTTGAATTCAAACTGATAATAATATTACACTTATGTTTTAACCAAGATAATTCTATTTCTAAATAGTAGATATCTATATAATTGCGATGTTTGTCAAATCTTATTTGATGAAAGCTCAAACTGTACAAATGCAACTCAAATTGACAAAACTCATGAGTTATGTGGATGGCTACCCAAGTCAAGCACAGTGCCAAGAACTGAACATGTGTAAAACCTCTTTGGCTCTTAATATGTTATGTTTCCAAAATGATGATGGTAACATTCTAAAACGAGACTGAGATAAATGATTAAAGTTGTAACGATTATGTATTTTATTTTTTCTTCAAAAATAATTTTGATGGCCATTACTTTTTACATGTTTATCAAAATATTATATTATTCTTGATTTGTAAAAAGAAAAAAAATTACATCCCGCCGCATTGCGTGGATACACAACTAATATATATATATATATATATATATTGTTGGAACCAAGATACTCTTAATTGACAGAAATACATTTTGTATAAAATAAGAATTAAGAACAACAACGTATTTCAGATGACTAAACAGAATATTCAAAGATGAATGTAAAACAGTGAATAATACTTTGAATAACCGAATGCTTTTATTGAAAAAGAAGAAATATTGAAGAACAAAATAATCTCACAGAAATACGCGTATAGTATAAGTCCGCTCCTTCATGTACTTTGAACCTGAGGCGGATGCCTCCTTATATACGCCTAGGTCTAACAAACTATGCTATAAAAAAGGCATGGAAATCTGAGCTGACTGGTCTGCATCCTTATCTTTGACTTCCCTTGAATAGCAGAGCAGACTTGGTCAAGCCGTCTTAAATCCGTTAGACGCTTGCGAGAATGTCTGGGCTAACACGCGCTTTCCGTGAAGAAGGTAGCCAGAAGCTTTGCATGAACATATAGAAGCTCTGCATGAACTATGAAGAGGCTCTATATATGTAGAAGCTCTACATGTACTATGCAGAGGCTCTGGGTCTTGGAGTTGTTGCTTTAAGTCCAGCGCTTATGCTTTTTGGCGCACAAGGCTTGAGCGTTCACGGAGATAGAGCGCGGGCTCTGTATGAAAGGGACCTTCACTCTGAGTAAGAGCTCTGGTCCTTGATCYTCTGCATGAGAGCTCTTAGCCAGATAGCTTCTATAGACTAAGTCCTATTGACTAGAGCAAGACACTTCTTACTTACACTTTCACAAGTTGGGGTCTAACAATCTCCCCATAAGTGTAACTAAGAAGGACTCTTACTTGATTTACAAAAAAGAAGTCTAATCGAAGACAGAGGTTAAAAGGAACCTTTGGTTTACATTAACTATCTAATGAAGTACAATACGATTGAAATGGAAATTACATTGAATTAAAAATAAAGGAGTACTTACAAAGATAAGAGGTCTAAACATTTTGAAGTCTAATGAACTTCCTAAGAAGTTCACGAAACTCAAGCATATTTCGAATCGACCTCAGGATAATTTTGGCTCGCTCCTTTGCTGCAGGGGAGTTGTCTCTGCTCCTGACCTGATTGTCTCTTATATAGCACAAAGTAGAGTTGGAGTACTTGTAATTCTGGTTGTCTCAAAAGAAGATCTTCTGTTTATGCTCATTTCGAAACACCACTCCCAATTCTGGTTCCACCAAGTCCGTCAAGGAGGGGATGCTGTTGATGCCCTGCAAGTCTTCTTTTGGAGCAGCGATTGTCAGTTGATCCACTCTTAGATCCAGAGCTAGTTGGAAGTCAAACTTGTTTCTGTAGTCGAGCAGGCCTGTCATTGTTTGGCAAACGATAGAGTTGGCAACAGCGTATTTGACACCCTTGTCCTTCTTATGATCTGTGAAGTAGAACAGATGGAGAAGATCCCACAGATTCAGATTAATAAGATCACAATCCGTGAACCTACAGATCCGTCCGTGAGACCTCTCCACTATGTATTCGTGGAATACAATTTGATTATGCACGAAGGTGCGCCTCTTTATATCAAGGATCTGCTTTATTCCATCAGCGAAGTGGACTGCAATGATTGGCTGATTGTAGCAAGCTATGAATCTCTGTCTGATGTGCTCTTGAAACATAGGATGAAGACTGATCTTCTGGACCGATGTCTCTTCTCTTAGGTTGTAGAGGAACTGGTAGATCTCTTCGTTCTCTGCTTTATCCATGATGGGTTTGTCGAGGGGTGTTGGCGGGAACATGACATCATGGACTTGCTTTGATCCTTTGGACACGATCAGAAGGATGCTTCCGTTTTTGCCCGCTGATTGTGCCTTCTGTGTCCGCTCTGTTTGGCTTGATAGGTACCTGCTGCCTCACAGCAGGAGTGACAACCCTGGTCCCTTGAGCAGGGACCTTAGCTCTATGGGTCTTTGGATGTGGTGGAGCAGCAATAGTGACTTCTTCTAGTGGAACGGCAACTAGAGTGTGCAGAAGTGACGGATCAGCCACATTCACAGCTGGCACTTCTTCTTCTTCTTGTGCTATGGTTGAAGGAGTAGCCATGTCCATTGCGTACTCTGTTGATGAGGACAGAGCCAGGTCAGAATCAGACGATCCATAGACAGATAAGAGATCTATGACTTCTGTGTTCTTTTGTAGCCCAGCTGGCTCTGCCTGTGACGCCATCGGCATTTTCCCTTTATGTAGCGCCTCTGTATTGTCTGGCGTGGATTGGCTCTGTGCCCTCTGCCTTGAAGAATCTTGAGCTGGTTGGCATGGGGCAGAGGACGTTGGTGTAGAGGGGGCAACCACAGGTGTTGTACTTGGAACGGCTGTAGAATGGTTCTCCCCCTCTTTACGATTTTGAGCATCAGACACATCTGGGTCCTCCATCATCGTCAAGTCGCCTCCTCTTTGATGGTTCTGCATAAGGAAATGGATCCCTTCGTTGTTTTGGCCTCTGTCCTCTGCTCGAGGCATCGACTTTATCCTCTCATCAATTACTTTGAGGAGTTCATCGACTGCGTTCCCGACCTTTTGCATTTCATCGTCTGAGCGGTAATTAAACCGGGCAAGAGTGTTGTTGATCTCATTCATTGCTTTTGTGGCTTTGCTATTGAAATTTGTAGTGAAGTCAGCCATCTTATGCAGAAGTCTGTCACCCAGAGCATTCATTGCGCTCTGTGTGACATAATCTACAGGTACACTCAGGGGAATGAGGGCCTGGGTGACATGAGATGTGGACACCTCAACCCTCTGTAATGATGCAATGACTTGTTGTAAGGTCTCTGCATTGCATGCCATCAATTCCACAAGTGTGTCGATTTGAGAAGCATTTGTCAAAGACTCAACTCTTAATACAGCCAAGGATGCTCGTATCTCATCCAAAGTAGGTGAAGAAGGAGACGACTCTACACGGGCCATGATGAGTTTTAGCTCTTCCAAGGAACACCGCATAAAGGTGAAAAGGGAATGGAACTCTTCCTTAGTGACATATGCAGGTGATGTAACCTCTGTCTCAACACATGGTCCAGAGTGAGTCCCCATTCCAGGGATGCCTTCATTCACAACTTGATTTATGTTGGTCGGGGAAGGACTTCCAGAGGATCCTTGTGGTTCTCCCTAAGGAGAATTCACTACCTCTATTCTGTCAGGGAGAGTACCCAAGGCTGGTTCAGATTCAGCCAGAGGGCTCTCCATGAGTAGACTAAGAGACCGGTCGAGAGTCTCTAAGCCAAGTGCACCTATTCCTTGCTCTAAACAAGGTTGGGAATCTACACGCGCAGAGGAAACAAATTCCTTTGTATGGGAAAGTTGCATGATATGGGGAGACATATCAATTATGTTTTCAAAGGTTGCACCCTTTTGAGAGGGTGTTCCCTGTGGTGAGGCTTCCCTTTAGCTGATATAACAAGAGGAGATGCGACCTCTGGTTGGATAGGCTCGCTAGGGTTCAAGGTGTGCACCTCAGTTTCAATGACTCCTATGTCTCGACCACTAGAGTCAGATGATTCGTTTACAGTGGGAGTTGGGGTGGTAAATCGAGTGTGCCTATTTAGCCTAGGCTACTCTGGCTTTCCCTGAGGCAGAGCAGCTGCTTCACCTCCTCCCTCTTCTTCCTCACTCTTTTCTTCTTCACTCTCTGCTTCTGTACTTTCTTCTTCTTCTTCTTCTTCTTCTTCTTCCTCCTCACTTTCCTCAGTTGTGTAAGACCGTGCAACATCGTCGTAGTGCTCTTGGTCATCCCCTTGGTTTGGACTAGAGGAGTGAGCCAAGGTTTGACGAGTTTCTTCCCCTGCTCTGAGTTTGGCCTCTTCCCTCAAACGAGCGATCTCTGCTTGGCAAGCTTTTTCTGCTTGCTCCTCCTCTGCTCTAGCACGAGCAAGCTCAGCCAATCTCTCTTGCTCTGCTCGCTCGACTTCATCCTTTTTATTTTTCTCCCTCTCAGTTCTCTTTTTCATCGCCTCTTGTTTTTTCCGTTCTTTCGCTCGCTCTTGCTCTACTCGCACCCTCTCTTCCTCTGCTCTCATCTTCTCTTCACCTGCTCTCACCGTCTCTCCCTCTGCTTGAGGCCTTGATGTGTCCTCAGTCCTCTCTTCTTCATCGACTGTTCCTATGCGTAACGGGGTTTGAGACATTGGTTCTAGTGTCTCGCGTGTACGTCTATACGCTCTTCTAATCTCCTTGGACTTCATATAACTCATGAGCCTATTTGGAACAGGCCTCTCTGCTTCATAACCCTCCTTGTTCACTGTAGGTCTGTACGGAGTGATCACGTTCACCTTGTGAGCAGGTAGACGACCCACATCAATATTGTTGTCGTCGAGAGCTAGTCTTAGAACAAGACCCAAGAATCATGGAAATAACAGAGACGACAACTGTCTTCCTTTGGCCACTTATTAACACTTCTTGGCCACAACAGCCTTGAACTCTATGTAGAGTATCAAGGAGTAGTCGAGAGATAAGTCAAAGAATATTTTGTAGATGATCTGAAGAACATTTATTGAGCACATGTCGAGGCTCCCTATCTTCCATTGTTGGACCTGTAAATTCAGCTTTGATATTGATCTGTTACTCTGAATGAACTATAAGACGATTAAAGTGCAGTGGAAACAATTATAAGAACAGAACAGAGTAATTAAACCAAGAATACACAGTTAAGATGATGAAGAAGATGAACACAGRAGAATAGCTTCAAAGGTTTTTCAATTCATTCAATTGAAAATTGACGATTACAATACGGAAGCACACTGAATACAAAGGCCTTAGCCGCTATTTATACTAGTTCCTAACGACCTTACTGACATGATCTAGACGTGTGAAATCATCTAAGCCGTCCAAATAAAGTCGATTAAGTCCTAGTCACGTGAGAAGCACATGCAGCTAACAACCATTGAAAAACTGTAAGAACAGGAACTTCACAGAAGATGAAACCGCAGACCTTCTATGAGCCATCTCAGAGGCTCTGCTGTAATTGACTTGTATGATCTTTTTGACAGAGGACCATTTTCCAGAACCTCTGTGAGAGTCATCAGAGGTTCTGTTACACTTTACTTGCACAATGAAACAGCGTCTGTTGCTAGTCCTCTGTTGTCTTATGTGGAAGATACCCTTCTGTCAACACTTGCAGAATACTTTTTCATACTTTTACAAGAAGTGAATAATAGAGCTAACATACCTGTTAGCGATCTGTTGACCAATGTGAAAAGTGTGTTCCACATTGGTGGTAGGTATTGACATCGATATTGTGACGGGTACTGGATTGCCTTGTTGTACCCCAAAAACTTCAAGAAGGCCACTATCTTGTCCCCAGATGGGAGAGGGGCGTACTCATAAACCCTAGGTCAGTTTTCGTTGGGATTTCAAGAACCCACGAAAACATAGACCTTGAAATATGAACTGTGACAAATTCCTGTTGGGCAGAGACAAAGAAATCCCCTATGATTCCTCTTTTAGATTCAGTTACGACACAAGATTGCCAGTATTCTTGGATGTACCATTCAGGAACAAGGTCATCCGTGTTTGTCAAGGCTGGGTTTAAGAAGTGATTTTGGAGGATATTGATGATGGGATGGTATTTGGTGTCGAAGTTTTCAAGTTAGAGGTTAAGGGCATGATTATTCGGTTTGATAGGAAGAGGAACCAGGTTTTGACTGGTGTCCTCCACAGTTTTGTGAGTTGTGGTATGGGTTTGGGAGTTTCCAGATTCGAATGAGGACATTTTTGCAGGTTTTGGGTGTGGAAGAAGATTTTAAAAAACCTAGGGTTTCAAGAACTAGTTATTGATTCGAGAATGAGTTGGAGGAAAGGGTTTATGGGACTCACTTGACAAACAGGATGAACGGTTGAAGATTGAATCAATCTTTGAACACTGTTTTGAGAGCTTGAAGTTGTAACAATGGTGGTTGGAGGTTGAAGACGATAGGAGTTCTTGAAAATCTTTGTAAGCATAAAAGATTAATTTGGGGGTAAAAATTGGTTTAAATAGAAAAGATAAAAACACTTGAGTGTTTAGCGCCCCAAATGTCAAATAAAAAACTGAACCGGTTTTTCACAGCCTGTGGGGGCACGCCACGTGGATTGCCAGCTGTAAATGGTGCCTCCCACGTTTGAAAAGATAGGCTCACAGGTGGTGATGCTTAATGTAGGTGACAGCTATTAAAAAAAATTAAAAAATAAAACCGTATGCCTTCTTAATGAAATAATATATTTTGATTTTCAAAAGAAATTTACCAAGTGTAAATACTCTGGTTAATGAGAAATAGAGGTTTTATAAAGAACCAGAATACTACATTTAGAAGAAGAAAACATACCTTAGGATCTCATACAGAGACTCGTGATTGGACTATACATGTCCTCTGTAGAAAACTTGCTATGTTTAGAGGCAGAGGCTTTGTCCTATAATCATGAAAAGTTTTGAACCAGAGGCTCTGTATAGTACATACAGAGGCTCTGTGTGACATGATCTGGTGCTCCCCCTTGACTTGAGCTCTTCTTATCTGCTCCCCCTTGAACTATGCTTGGATCATTTGTGATAAGTTTTGTACAAGCATAAGAACCAAGGTACAGACGCTCTGTATTTACTATACAGAGACTCTGTATCACAAAACAACTAGGACATGAGTAAGAGGCTCTGCATGTACTATATAGAGGCTCTGTCTCATGGATCAATACAAATAACAATAAAACAAAAGTATGCAAAAAGGGATGCAGAGGCTCTGTATAGTACATCAAGAGCTTTTGTAAATATGTCAGCAAGTTGTAAATATGTACTAACAAAAAACATTTCAATCGTACCTTTCTCTACATGGTCCTTGATGAAATGATATCGAACATCGATGTGCTTTGTTTTTGAGTGTTGCACATGATTGGCTGTGATTGCGATAACACTTTCTGAGTCATACAGAATTGGAATTTTTCTCAAACTCGGCGCCATAGTCTTTCAGTTGAGTCTTCATCCATATCACTTGGGAACAACAACTGGCTGCAGCTACGTACTCTACTTCAGTTGTGGAAGTAGATACGCAGTTCTGCTTCTTCAAGGTCCAGCTTATGAGCTTGTCCCCAAGTAATTGGCACCTACCTGATGTACTCTTCTAATCAAGTTTACAAACTGCCTGATCAGAATCTGTGTACGCAATAAAATCAAAACCATAATACTTTGGATACCAAAGACCCAAAAATTGAGTCCATTTAAGGTATCTAAAGATTCTTTTTACATCCGAAAGGTGAGATTCCTTTGGATTTTCTTGAAAACACGCACAAAGACATGTGGCAAACATAATGTTTAGTCTACTAGCCGTGAGGTATAGTAGTGATCCAATCATTCCATGGTAAGTCTTAACATCCACCGGTTTTCCAGATGGATCTGTGTCAAGCTTAGTTCCCGTAGCGATTGGTGTTCTCATGGTGGAAGAGTTATGGAGTTGGTATTTCTTTAATATGTAGGAGACATACTTAGCTTAGCTAATGAAAATACCGCCTTCCCTCTGTTTTACTTGCAAGCCGAGGAAGAAGGTCAATTCTCCCATTATGCTCATTTCAAACTCGCTCTTCATTAACGCAGAGAACTTATCACAATGCCTCTGGTTCAATGAACCAAAGATAATGTCGTTCACATATATCTGTGCTAAGAGCATCTAACCTTTATACCTCTTAATGAACAAAGTTGTATCGATTTTACCTTTTTCAAAACCATTAGATAAGAAAAAAGATGAGAGACGTACATACCAGGATCGAGGTGCTTGTTTAAGTCCATACAGAGCTTTGTCTAAGAAATAGACATACTCTGGATGTGTGGAGCTTTCAAACCCTGGAGGTTGTTGAACGTAGACTTCCTCCTTCAGCTTACCATTCAAGAAGGCTGACTTAACGTCCATTTGATAGACTCAGAATCCCTTATGTGCAGAGAAAGCTAAGAACAAGCGTATAGCTTCTAGCCTTGCTATTGTCGCAAAGGTCTCATCATAGTCTATGCCTTCTTCCTGGCAATAGCCTTTTGCCACGAGCCTAGCTTTATTTCTTACGACGATCCCATCCTCGTCCTTCTTGTTCCTGAAAACCCACTTACAGCCAATTGCAATTTTATCCTTTGGTAAAGGTACAAGAGTCCATACCTTATTCCTCTCGAATTGTTGGAGCTCTTCTTGCATGGCATCGACCCAACTAGGATCTTGTAGTGCTTCATGTACTTTCTTAGGCTCTACCTTGCTAAGGAAGTTTACGAATAAACACTCATTAGCTGTGGCAGCCCGTGTCTTTACGCCACATGAAGGTTCACCAATGATCTGGTGAAGAGGTTGATCCTTTGTCCATTTTGTTTTTGGGACAGATACAGAAGTAGGGGACGTTTGATCATGTTCCATGGGCATGTTTGGCATTGAGCTCGTTGATGGTGAGGAAGGTTTTGCTTGCTCCCCCTCGGATGATGGTATAGAGGAACCAGGTGTAGAGCCAGAGGTATTATGCTATGGTTCTACGTGACTGGGCTCTAATGTAGAGATTGTTTGCTCTGGTTGTGGATTGATATGTTCTCCAGAGGAAGCAGAGGTCTGTGAAGGACCAAAGTCAAATGTCCTTGTCATTTGTGATCCTTCACTTACACTCGCAGATTTATCTCTTGGTGCACGTATAGAGATGTCTTCATCACCAAAGAAGTCTTCAAATAGTAGCCTGAGTTCCAATTCCCTTGACTTCATTTGAGAATTGGAAGTCTGCTTGTTAAGCTCGAGTCTAGAGCTGAGGTACTCTGAAGTCATTTGTTCTTTATCATCGAACGAGATGTTGATGCTTTCCATGACCGTCTTGGTTCATTTATTGAAGACTCTGTATGCCTTGGCTTTTGTTGAATAACCAAGGAACTTTCCTTCATCTGCCTTCTTATCGAACTTGCCAAGTTGATCTCGATCATTTAGGATGAAGAATCTGCAACCAAAGACATGTAAAAATTTAACGTTAGGCTTTCTTTGGTTGATTAATTTGTAAGGAGTCTTCATGTGCCTCTTTACCACCGTTGCTCTATTTTGAATAAAGCAGGCAGTAGAGATTGCTTCTGCCCAAAAAGGGGTTGGAAGACCAAAGCTGGCTAGCATGGTTCGTGCAGCTTCGACCAGAGTTCTATTTTTTCTTTCTACGACACCATTTTGTTGTGGTGTCCTCGCTGTAGAGAAGTTTTGAGTTATGCCCTCTGTGTCCAAGTACGCATCGATCTTGGTGTTCGTGAACTCTGTTCCATTATCATTTCTTAGCTTCTGAATTTTGCTTTGTAGAAGTACTTGAATCTTGGTCATTAATTTGATTAGCAGCTCTGGGACACCTGATTTTTGCCTTACAAACTCAATCCGAGTATATCGTGAGTATTCATCAATTAAGACTAAAATATACTTCTTACCAGACAAGCTCTGCACAAAGATTGCACCATAAAGATCCACATGAAGCATATGCAGAGGTATGACACATGACACATCTGTCTTAGTTTTGTGGGATGCTCTTTTGAGCTTTCCCATTTCACATGCAGAGCAGAGATGGTCCTTTTCGAACTTTATGGCAGGAAGTCCGTCAACCAAATTATTCTACACAAGCTTCTCTATATTTTGGAAATTAAGATTAGAAAGCTTATGGTGCTAGAGCCAAGCTTCTTCACTCTTGCGAGGCACGAGATAGAGCGTCTCTGAATTGTCTCTTGGTGAGAAGTTCATGAGATACATATTGCATTTTCTCTTAGCTCTTAGCAACTCCTGACATGATTCTGACATAATGAAGCAAACTTCCTTTTGGAACTTGACATTGTAGCCAAAATCACATAGTTGACTTATGCTCAAAAGATGATGTTTAAGCCCAAAGACATAAGCAACCTAGGAGACAGAAACCTTACCTTGTAGTAGATCCCCGTATCCCTTTATTTCTCCTTGTTTGTTATCCCTAAAGGTCACTTTTCCTCCAATCTTCTCTTTGTATGAGGAGAGCAACCTCTTATTGCCGGTTATGTGTCTGGAGCATCCGGAGTCAAGATACCAAATGTCCACATGCAGCTTCTGCAAAACAAATTATAAGGATTTAGGTACCCATTTCATAATGGGTCCTCGATGATTAGGGACAGAGGGCTGCTTTTTAAGCTTTGGAAGAGGCTTCGTCTCTTGACCTGAACTAACAGACTTGGCTTTGGGAGCCTTCTTTTTCTTGTGGATCTTCTTGGATTTAGGCTTTGATGACCCAGAGAGAAGACAGTTAGGGTCAGAGAA